CATTCCGTTATCATGTAAATTAATTTAAACGCGATTACTAAATTTAATTAAAATATGACTACGTACATATATCAATTTAAGCATATTCATCTTTCATCAATTTTCTAACTAATTCCTTTGGTTAGAGAGTGGAAAAGCTCCCTTTTCACGTAGACCCGTGTCTTCCTATTACATTGAAAAACGGTACATCGGTAATCGATGTGTTCGAGCGAGCCAGTGTACACGTATCCACAAATAGATGCAAAGAAGCCAGGATCGTATCGGTTCCGCAGAAACAAAGATTCCAGTTGCAGATCGCTTGGATTTTGTAGACAAGAGACAAAAAAAAAAACGAACGAACAAAATGAACAGAAAACAGGAATTGTTCACCGATTTTCAAACTTGTTCAAAGGATGGTCTATTGCCCGTGTCGTTTGAAAAAGACTCAAAAAAACGTGATCGTTAACTGATTGCTCGTTTTGTTTACAATCGTTACATTTGTTTGCAAGGTTTTGTCACGCATTTGTAACTCTCGAAATATCATCTATTTGCATTTTACAATTCGTTTGTTTACGTTGTATGGAAAAAACTTTCACGTTATTAATTTGATATTTTCAATTTTTTTTTTGTAGTAAAAGGTTATACAAATTCGTAGTTATTTCAGTATAGATAATTACTGAATGTATGTATAGTGTTTGCACGTTTTGATTACATGTTTCCCGAAGAGAATTTAAAAAATTAGCTGTTGAAATTTGATAGTATATTTTTAATAAACAAATATACAGTATAGGTGATATACGCTGTACGAATACTTATGGAACTGACTGTATGTATTCACTATGATTCGAAGTATTGCAAAAGTTATACTCAAAATTCTAATTTTTACTTTAACCCACGTCATGTACACACGTAGTTAAACCAAATTTAATTTTTAGTTTGTCACGAATCGATTCGTTCTGCTCCAGCGTTCTAATCTTCTGCAGTCCTGCGATCATTAAAGCACTCGTTCCCTGAAATTTCCGACACGTCAGACTCTTCTTACTTTCCGTCGACGGAGAATTGTGTAGCTCGGTGTCCTATCCACGTTCCATTTTCATTATCTCTTGGTCGTTTCATATCGTCTGCACACAGAGACACGACATGTGCCACGATGGCTCGTTTAACTCTACCCCCAAACACGGTCGCCTATGATCTGCAAGAATAGGGAAAAAAATGTATCGCATACTCGCATCCGGACGAATACGACGCACGTCAACGATAAGACATATTACCAGATTCATGTTCACGATATTTTCCGCGTTCGGATAACATGAAACGAGGCATGGAATATTGAGGGGTAGAAAGGTGTCGAGTTGAGGATAAGAAGGCATCCTCAGCGGTGTGCTTCCTTGAAGAAGGAAAGATATTAAGATATCCTTGAGCCTGATTACTTGTTAATATATAAGTTTACACTTTACAATTTTGCACTTTTACACTTTGCTCTTGACACTTTTACACTTTGCATTTTGCACGCTGTATGTTGCACTTTTGCACTTTGACTTTGCACTTTACACTTTGCACTTTTTATATCTAAAGATCTTATTCCAAGTTCGCAGCCATTAGCTCGGTATCACTCGCGACGAAGGATTGTTCGTCACGAATAATACCGATTACCAGGTCTCACCACGTGGAGGTTGCTGCGACTGGAGACCCAGAGATAGAAGGAATCAAACTTCCTTCGATCTCCCTCTACATAGAGTATACATACGTAGATGCATACTCTAAATAGAGTCGACGAGCTTAATACTAAGTACGAAACGATGAAAATCAAAGGAAAAGAAAATTCCCTTCGATTTCCAAAGTCTATGTCTGACTCTGTCAAATAATTATTTGAACTAAATGGAAGGTAAATGGAAATCGCGACACGACGCGACCACGTAACTGGACTTACAGAGTCAGTCCCGTTTCCCCTGGTGGGCCTGATTCGAGAGAAAGACGATCAACGTCTCCGCCAGTACTCTTCTCCCTGCATACCTGCTGCCGAGGGCCCAGATCCGACCTTACAGTGTACGACGTAGGTAGCACCGCGTCGGGTTGCCCTGCCCTGGCGACACCAGCTATGTCTGACGGTCGTAGAGTCCCGAAACGGAGTTCTACTCTCTGCACAACGTCAGGAGTCCAGGACACGACTTGCATCCGTCTGACGGCTCTTTTGAGCTGCGCTGCGTCAGGAGCCTGGACTTCGCCTGACGCGTACAGAGAGTAGAAGATTCCTCGGAGGCGTCGATTGACCCTCTCTCAAATCAGACCCACTAGAGGACGGCAACCGACTTTGGCCAGTCACATGGTTGACCACTACACTTATCACATCAAGTAATAGTGACCGAAATGGAGAACGGAGTTGCGAGTCCAATATGGACCTACGAACAAACAAAAGAATTGAACAAATGATTAATAATTATTTGACAGAGAACAGACACTCGTACACGCATGCCTTAAAACTAACTTAGGTACATGCCTTAAAACTAACAAAACCAAATTAAGCTACCCACATCCAATACCAAGCCACGATAACTAAGGGAAACTACGAAAGCAAAAATGGAAGGGACGCGAAACGCGGACGCGCGATCGCGAGATCCATATCGACCGAAGGACCGACGAAGAATGAACTTTCGTCCCTCGTATACCTGTGTCGGTCAAGGGTCGCGGCTCGCTTGTGCCTCTCGAAGTAGAGAAGGGGAAGGGCGAACAACAACCGCGTGACGCTTGATTCGAAGACGCGTTGAATCCATCGAGAAAATAATTCGTGAAATATTAATATCACAGCAAAATCATATTCTCCATCGTTGTTTAAATACGTATTGTTAATAATTAATTTATCTATTACCAGAACCAACAGATACAACCAATAGATGTCAAAGTATAGACAAATTTCCCACGATTACTATCTTCAATGAATACTTATTTTGAACCGTGATTGTTATTAATATTTAAGCGAATATTAGTACGTGGTATTTCATTGTTTTTGCCGCACATTTGACGGCAAAACTTCCCTTGAATGGTTCCTTCAAATCAACGTCAAACTCCAATTTTGTTTATTGTATCTGTCTATTCTGCGCATAAAGAGGCTTGAACGTCACTGCTCGCGATAACCGTAAAAGCTGTGGCAGAGTGATGTTCCATTTCAACGACAAAACAATAGTATGATTTTCGTGAGCATCGTTATAATAGGTCATGCTAATTGGGGTGTTCTCCGGTACTAGAGAGAAATCCCTTTCTTTGTTGCATTATACGTACACTTTCAACATCGGCTCCCCTTTAGAGACCAGTGTATTGCGTTAGGTAAAGTTTTCATAATGTAACGGGTTCGTTTGTAAACATTCTCCGAATTCGATGCTCTTTGTGGATAGGGATATTTGAAGATCAAAGGGTTCGTGCAATTAACAATAAAATTATATAATACCAAGAAAATGAAATGGTTTTAAAACACCGAGATGAAGTCGACTGGTCACAATTCCTATAATTACTGTTGGGAGTAATTATTCAAAGTCTCTGTTATTTAAAGAACTTGGAAGAATGGACGTTGGAAGAATTTAAGTAAAGTAATTAACTTTCAAGTGACTTTAAAGTAATTGAATCAACTTTCTTTAACTAGAGAAAGGTTCACTAACAATAAGTAACATTCTATATAAAGCAGAAATTGTACAAATAATTTAACAATCTCTATCCTTTCCAACTACCTTTATTTATTTCACTCTACCCGAGTCTTTGTTTCTAAAACACAAAATGTTCACAGAATACCTTCTAGCTTATTCATTCCTTTATTTCTATTGTAGCTTATCTTAATCTTAACAATAATTACGTCACAAACTATTTCAATTCTCTTAAATGATACTTCAGTTAAACGATGTTGGAGTGGTGGAGGTTCTGCAGCATATGAGTTTCACTACTGACAATACCCATTCATCTCAACAAAGACGACAATTTGATGTTGTTGGTAACAAATGTTAATTTGATCAAATAAGTGTAAATTTCTATTACGTATAAGTCATGGTTGGCAAGTGTGTATTTATAATGAGATCTTCTTAAGAATTTCATAAAAATCAATATACATGCATCCATCTACACGTCAGAAGAATAGTAATTAATTATAGTTAGACGTAATCACATAGCAATATTGCAACACTACAATTTGAATATTCGATACAGTTAAACAATCAAAACTATGACACAATATATAAATATTTTGTACATTAATCGTAAATTCGTATTTTATCGAAAAAACAAGAATTCAATAGGAGTAAAACACGTTTAAACGATCACTCAGGGTATAATGGAGAAAGTAAACCGGGATATATTATGTTTCCAGAAGGAAAAAAAGTATATAGAACCGTCTTTAATCATGCAAATACCTGTATGAAACAGAAGAACGGACCGAAGCATTTATAATCATGCGACATGCGATACATTTTTTCCATTTCAATTCTCATGACCTTCATCATTTTATTGCTGCAAAAAAAAAAAATTCACCGTTGAGCACGAATACTGCGCATTGAATTACGTCGAACGTAAGCACGAGATTACAACGTAAACAAAAAATTCTGCTACTAACTACTTCGTTTAGCTTCGTTTATAGCGAACTGTTAACGTGTTCAAGGATTTTCATCATTTCAACGGAAAATTGATTTTCTTACCATTGCGATACGTGGGCGATTAATCGATGAGTTATTGAAACTATTTAGTTTTCAATGAGTAAAATGAACATCTTGTAATTAATGCTTTTCTGTTATACAATATCATACAGGAGTGTGGTGTTTTGATGAAACATTGTTACTGGGGTTCTGCAGAGCTTTATGATTAATATGTGAAATATAATTAGTGGACATTATGAGTACGTGAGAATATTCATTTATTCCTCGTATTCGCCACATCTTGATATTCTCTTTCACCAAATATGATCTAATCAAGACTATAAAATTTGTATAAATGTTAAAATCCTAATAGAATAGAATATTTTATAGTGATTGTTGTATTAATTTCAGAATGTTGGAAAGATGACTGGGTATTGAAGCGAAGGTGTCGGTGACTCTGAAGGTTACTGCCACCGTGATTTTCACCTGGTGGGATGGATTTGAATGGGACAGACAACAGCCTCAACGGCACCGAAGGCAATCGCACTGCGTCATCAGTTTACGTCATCAGTAGAGATTACATGTCTGAATGGTGAGTACATAAATTTACATTGCATACACTAAAACTTCCAGTATTTCAATGAACCTCTTAAAATATCAACATATAGGTACGTTTGTATGTGTAGAAAATAGAGACTATTCGTGAATTTTTAATAATATATATTTATACTGATTCAATTTAAACAAAATTGAACAGAAACATAAAAGAAATCAAGCGTGGAGTCATCGAAACAAGCCTACAAACATCTACGAAAAATTGTAAAGAAACTATAAAGTAAAATTTAATATTCATGAATTTTATGTTTCATGTTTACGTCAACCTTCAAAAAGTGCCCTGTGCATAAAAATTATATTCAATAAATATAAAAATAGATCATCGTTTTATATTGGGAAATAAACAACTTATCCCTCCTATTTCCCCTGTAAATGTTTGTCCTGATTTATATACAACTTTTATGAAACCGATGTACCGTATAAATCGAAGGTTAGATATAGTAATAATAATAAAATTAAGTAGCGAATTAAATGGCAATTAAAAAGTACCTATAGCAGTGAAAGACCAACATTGAGTAGGCTGCCTACTTCCAGAGTCTTGCACGATTTCTGACTTTAGTTTTGAAGGTATAGAATTCGTGGCAATTATAATCAAATGCAGAATGAAAGTTCTCACACCAGGTAGAAGTGGTGTGTGTATTTATGGAATAATCAGCCTCGGTGAACTACTTGGCTTACTAGCAAGTACGCAGGTAGTACTTGGTACACGCGAAATTTTCGAACTGTTTCGTGTAAGGATATGACGTTACGAAGCAATTTAGCAAATTGTACGAGGCGTTTATAAATCGAAATTACGTTTCGCAATAGTTCTCAAAGAAACGTCGACCTACATCTTTCTTGAATATAAGTCGTTCCACTGTAAATACGGCACTGATGGTTATTAAACGAGAAAAACTTTTCTAATTAATTGGATCTCGATGCAAATAAATATTTATTACTTCTGACTTCAATTGGATAACAATTTTTAACGAGATTCACGATTTGCTGCAAAATGTATTTAAAGAGATGCGAGATGGAGGTATACGTTGTTGTAACCTGACATTTAATGTTTGACATTCTTTGTTGATCATGATGTAGCGTTAGTCACAAACATTTAGATGATGTTTATAATAATCGTCTCCATATTTAATCGGCGTACAAAATTATTTGAAGATCTTTGAATTTCGTCAATACGTGAATTTCGTCGTAAATATAAAATTTATGTAAAATTATACATATATTTACATGCATTTTAGTAATATCACGTATAAATATTATAATCAGACATTTTACTTTGTTAAATTTTGCCCAGATTCTAAAGATATCTTGAACTAATATCACAAATAGTTTTAAATTTTGAGAATGTGTTTAGGTTATTAGTTTATAATATAATCTTGTGTATGAATTAAAATATTATTACTGATAATTACCGTAAAATTTAAACAATAACATGTGGATTATTATGACATCTTTTCAAAATTTGTGGAGCCTTTTGATGAATTTGTCGCCTTCTATAAATACTCATTATTGGAAGAGTTAAATCATCATGTGAGGTTCTCTTACACGGCCGATGTTAATTGACTGCGGGTACGCTCAGGAAACACAAAGGAAATGAACTTTCACGAGGGCCAAAACCAAGACAAAAATTGCTTGGGGGGATGTCGTCTGCTTTCTCCTGAAGACAGCATTGTCCTTCTAGTCGCGCTTAATGAGTACCGCTATACACACGGTAAATAGATGCGTTTCGTGGCTATTAAAAGATCTTTGAGACGGTGTTAGTACTCTTTCTCATCTAAAAATAGCCCTTCTCCGGTGATATGTATGCACGTAAGCGCAATAAAAGCATATTACGTACCAAAATTAAAGTAAACTTAAAGAATAACAATTGTATAAGCGTTCGCTGTTTTTTTTATATCATAAACACTTTGCTATGTTATCTCATCGAGTAATTAAAACAATTCTCAAATTAACAAGTCATTTAGACGGTAAAGAAAAGAAGATTGGCAGAAGAAATGAATAAAAATAATAACTGTGAGCAATTAGAGACGTTAACAATGATAAACAGTCACGTGATTCTCCGTTAAACTCAGAATATGCTTTTTCTTTTAATTATAAATAAATACCATATTTTCTTATTTATCTCTCGCGAATATTGTTCTCAATACTTTTTAATTGAACGAAATAATAGCCAATTTATATCAGACCTCTTACTTAAGAATAGAATGCTGTCCTGCTGAAATAATTAAGGATATTTATCCCACTGTTATCAGCTAACAAAGAATATTCATTATTATTCTACGTTTCAATCTTTCTTCGAGTCTCCGGGGAATTGAATTAAATCGCAATTCATTTCCAATCCAGAGTAAGAAAAATTCTCGTGTGCAATTTCGAAGCGACAACGTCCAGACTTTCCTGTTCAACCGAAGGGGATTTTTCGCGAATGTATCGCACGTGGAAAATTGATCTCTGGAAGGCAGTGCGAGTCGTGTAGGGTCGGACGTTTTAAACAGGCTTCGAAGACTCGAACTAAGCCGAAATTACTCGACAACGTTCACGTTTCTCTCGCATATTGTACCACTATATTGCTGGTAACCCGAGAATCATCTTTCCAGCTCCCAGCTGTTCTGGGAGAATAGAGGAAGTACGAGCAGCTAGCTGGCATCCAGCAAAACCAATCTGGGGAAAATTGCACCCTTGACCTAGACATGTTAATTCGTGTAGACCGTCGAGTCGGGGCTTACAGACGAGTAGGTGAGTTTCGGTTGATGGAGTTAGTTGGTCGAATGCGCGAATACATGCTCGTGCAGGCTTCATTATTTCATAAAAAGGAGAACCGTTGTCGTGCGACTGGATTGAAACACGCGAGTCACGTTATGCTGTTGATCGACGGCTAGAGCACGCAATCCTCGCGAAAAATTGTGAATTTTTGCGTGTGCCTATCGATAAAATACAGCACCTTCATTATCTGAACATTTTATTGTTTCGACGGTGTGTTTCTTACTTCGACGTCGCGTTTCCGTTTCTACCGTAACAAATGCGCGCGTGGAGTATCTGACGGCGATATTCATCGAAATATTTTATACTCGAAATAAGTACATGTCGTTACTATCACTGGATCATATTTGACCTACGAGAAGATGTCAATGTCTCTTAAAAGGGAAGATTTATTAATTCCCTCGCTATCGTAGTTTGAACGCCCACGCGTAAATGGCGAAATTTCACCTTATAGAGAATTACGAGACGAAACTTTTTTGTATCTACAGTTTATTCAAAATAAACAAATTAAAAATATTAAGTTCATCTAAAATATATGAAATTTAACGTCAAAATAATTATCGTTTTATTGTTCGAAAATTGATATCTACTTGAACATTTGTGTCCTATTAATTCAGATAATGGACATTCTGCTACGATCAAATAAATAAGCAGGTGATATTTTCGACGAGAGATGATATTGATTTTACACATTCATTTTCATTTCGCGAATGAAATTAAATAGTCGTGTGTGTGACGTGGAATAATTTACTTTCATTATAACTGAAATTTGATTTATTTTTGCGAAATAAAAGTACAATTTTTATTACATAATTTATCTAATTGGAAGACATTTTGAGAAATTTGGTTTTCTACTCACTGTATCATTTTATATTCTTATGCAAACCATAACTTCTGGATGCCAAGAACTCAGAGCAAAAATTTTTTTAACCTGTTTGCCTATTAAATTGCGTCGCTGGATTGAGGTACACCGTTATAGTATTAGATTGATTAAAATGATCCTCTACTACATATAAAGCAGTCTGTATTGGAAACGGATGGTAAATAAATCGTTTGTAACATTCCTTTTTCACTATACTCTGCAAATTGGTTAATTAAAGCGAGGCTTTTGCTGCCCGCATACGTTTGCAATTTTCACCAGACAGTAGTGGGTCCAAATGATTTCCTCTTGCATCTAACAACGAATGAAGTTATTGGTGCACAAGTAAATAGCCATTAACTACAATACTAAAGTTTATCAATTATCGAGTATTAAATTTGTTATGATTTTATATAAATTAATAGGAAAATAGTACCAGAAAGTACATGCTGTATTAGAAAAGAAAAAAACGAATAAGATTTACGTAAAATTGTTATGTGGGCGATAGAAATATAGAAATCTTTTATTATAGGTGAAACATTCAATTTCTGATTGCATACGATACGCGACGAACGTGTCGCGCAAACGTTTCCGTTTCGATTGGCATATTGATCCTTCTTCTCTCCTAGATCGCAACGCATGTGCCGTGCGGACGTTGCAGAATTGCATGTGAGACCCCTAACCTCATTATTCTGTATTTTCGATACTGCTTACGCAGTCTGTTATCGCATCGCGTTACAATTCCTGTATTCAACACGAAACTGTATACCGTTCTTGATACAAAGTCATACGAAACATATTCGCGGAGTCCAATCAACCATCAACACCTTTCAAAGGCAAACGTAATCATTGGATTATCCAGACCAGCTAAACTATCAGGTGTAGGAATTAATTCCTCCTTTTCCTACAATAAAATTGACATTTATTTTATCAAGAAAAATCATACAACTTTTAATCTTCCCTTAGTCACATATTCCAAAAGAGCAGATATACATACTTGTAAAAACAAAATGTATCGTATAATATTATTAGTATCACAAGTGGAATTATGAATATGTAAATACAAAGTCACAAAAGTAATGTCCACGCCTAATATATTTAAACTAAAATAAAAAAAAGTTTCAGCCAATATTTCGACCTTCAAATAGATGTATTTAATTTAAAACTACATATATTTCTCATGTTTGATATAAATATTAATTGAATTGTATCGTGATGTTTTGGTTTTTCTTCGAGATCTCTTCAAGAGTAGGATTTTTTTTCTTTTTCGAAAGGAAATAACTCTTGATGAATAACTGTGATTTTCTTTTGTTCGAGCTGTAAGATAAAAGTCAGATTAATCTTCAAATATAAAAATGTTCTCT